GTCAATGATACTATCCAACGTTTTCAGTTCCTTTAAGACTTTCTGCCCCAATGTTTCTAGATGCATTTCACAATAAATTGTTCAAACTGAGAACAAGGAGCACCGGGAGCTTTCTGGCATCTCCATTCGTGTCTCTCCAGAGGTGGCACCACCCCAATCCCAAATCTGTTCTCAGAAATGTACGTAAGAGAACTCTCCAGGGACCGGAGGAGCCTGGGTAAAGTGCACTGGCTCCCTGCCAGGCAAAGAGCAAAATAATACTCTGTATGAAAAAGTTGTTTTTTTCCTTCTTCTTTCTCTTTCTTCATTTCTTAAAGGGGAGGGGAGTGTTTCTGTTTTCCTTCACTGTGCACCGAATCCCTAAAGACCACAAATCTCTAAAAGTACACACATTAATATTAATGCAATCACAATAGGAACTGTTATACAGTAAAGAAAGAGAGAAAAAAGAAGTAATAGAAATTGAAGGATGCCTGTCTTGGGTAGTTTTAGGATGTGTTTAGCTCGTGGGAGGTGTTTATCTTTTTACTTTTGGTATGGCTTAACCACTAAGCCATACCCCCAGCCCTTTTTATTTTTTACTCAGAGACAGGGTCTCACTAAGTTGCTTAGGGCCTTACTAAATTACTGAGGCTGGCCTCCAAGTGTGATCCTCCTGCCTTAGACTCCCTAGCCTCTGGGATGACAGGTGTGCTCCACACTGCGCCTGGTGGGAGGCATTTATCTTACTAATAAGTACCTTTCTCAGGGAGGGATGATCCCCCACATGCTCCAGGGAATCCTGAGGATGCTGAGTAGGATGCTAGGACCAGTAGCAGCCCCAAGGAACGGTAGGAGGGCAAGGAGGTCCTAAACTCCACTATTACCTTTCACAAGCTACACATCCAAATGCCGCCCATAAAACCATACCATCTGAGGACAACCAATGTCTTGTTATATGAAGGCAGTTCCAAATATAGAGTCCCCTAGCCACCCTTCCAGTTCCAAATACTGTTATATGTCTCTTAAGCAGACACAAGGTCAGAGTCCTCAAAGCACCTTCATCTAGGGACTGCCCAGCATAGCTGCTGTACACCTAGGACTTAGGGACAACACTGTCTTCCAACAAGGACTTCCCAAGGAGGGAAAACTGCAGACACTGTGGCCTAACAGTTAAACAGCTTCCCACCAGAAACCAGGTTCCAGCCTGAATTCTGTCCTTAGCCTTGAGATGGCAACTGCTGTGCCTTCTGAAGTCCTAGGGTTCTTGGTAAAAGGAAGTGGCTCAAGTACAAACCATCTCTGCTAAACAGCTCTTCTCAGTCTAAAATTCTAGAATCTATGTCACCAAATGCTTCAAATGTAGACAATGACAACTTTCTCTTTATAGCAACCATCAGCCCCTAGGGACCTTCCCTGTTCATAACTTTCCAAAAGGTTTATATTTAGTTCAGAGAGGACTACATTTAACACAAATGAGGCTACCCCGATGAAGTTTTATTATTATTATTATTATTAATCTATGGGATGTTACCTCTTGTAATTTTTTTTTTCATACTGGGGATTGAACCAAGGGTACTTAACCACTGAGCCACATCCCCAGCCCATTTTGTTTTTTTATTTTGAGACAAGAGTCTTGCTAAGTTGCTTAGGGCCTTGCTAAGTTGCTGATGCTGACATTGAACTTGAGATCCTCCTGCCTCAGCCTCCCAAGTCCCTGGGATTACAGGCATGTGCCACCACGTCCAGCTGTAATTCTTTATTCTAAAATTCATATATATCTATATATTTTTTAAAAAATCAATACACACACACATACACATATATAGAGACATATGTATATATATATATACACATATATATTCATATATATATTTTTTAAAAAAATCAATACATACACATATATATTTTTTTAAAAATATATAGATATATATGAATATATATGTGTATGTATATGTATATGTATATATATATATATATGTGTGTGTGTGTATGTGTATGTGTGTGTGTGTGTGTGTATGTGTGTATGGTTGTTGTTGTTGTTGTTGTGCTGGGGAGTGAACCCAGACCCTTGTGCATGCTAGGCAAATGTTTTACTACTGAGCTACATCCCCAGCCCCAAAATTAATGTTTGCATACAACAGCATCTGATCTAGACTGTATTTTAACTTTATTTTCTTTGATCTCTCATGGCTCTTCTTTTTTCTTAGAACTGGAGGACATTTTTATGTGTTAAAATAAGGCTAGAGAAATATTAGAAGTCAGTACAATCTATAACAATTCAAGGCCTCTGATTTTTTATCTAATTGAGGGTGCTGAAACTATCCGTTTTCACAGAATAGTTTTTCCCTTTCCTGGATTCAATGCTACTGACAGGCAAAGAGCAGATTAAGGAAAAACAAATAATGTGCCTAACCAGGACTCTCCTGGCTTGGCTGTTAACTAATTGTATAGCTTTGAGCACACAAGTATACTCATCTGCAAAATATGAATAATAACACAGCAGCCCCCTAACTCCCCAGCACCAGCAGGAGGTTAGGTAGGCAAATGATAAGGTCAGAGACAAAGAACAGACACTGACTCTCCAAAACACAGGCATTTGCTTCATTGGGGGGGGGGGGGGGAGACACTGCTACTAATTAACTGTGGTGGTTAAACAGAAGCAAGATGCAGAAGTTCCAGATAGGTTGAACTGGGTCCAAAGTGAATCAAGAACTGAAGCACAGATTAAGCCTCCCAAAGTCTAGCTAAGCTGATGATGAAGGTCTTCTTCAAAGGCACCTAAGCTGCCTCCCAGTGATCAGTGGTGAGGTCAGTGGGACTTGGTGCCAGGAGCAGTGGTGGAGACCAGAGGATCTGCTACCAGCTCAGCTCAGGGACCTAACCTGTGGCAAGCTAGGCCTACTTTCCTTATCCATGATCCGATTTGATTAATCTGAATTCTTTCCCTCCTGTGTAAATTGCCCCTTTGCTCCTCTGACAAAGTAGAAAATGACTTCAGCATATGACCTCACAGAAACTGAATCATCCTTGTTGTAGTCCAAATGAATTATACACAAAATAATTTATAATTATACATTTAGTACAGGTGGAGTCTGATTTTGTTGGCCAGTTAAGAAAGGCCTCCTCCTATATCACTCAAATGAGATTACTTCACTGGGTACTTGTGGAAGCACTCCGCCTGGGGAAAAACACCAGGCCAGCCCAGCGTGCTGGGCACACCTGTAATCCTGAGAAGGGCAACTTGGAGGCCGGCTGCAGCAACTTAACAAGACCCTGTCTTGTTAAATAAAATATTAAATAAAATATTAAAAGGGCTGGAATGTAGCCCGGTGGTAGAGCACTCCTAGGTTTAATCACTAGTACCCGCAATAAATAAATAAATATGTAAATAAACCAGGATAAAGAGATTTTGTTGCTAAAAGAGAAGATTCTAGAACTGGTTCTTTTCTTGATTATCACCTGCATTTTGGGGGCATTTCATGCAGTCCCAACATGTTCAGAGATTCCAAACTCCTATCCATCCTCAGGAGACCAAATACACATACACACCTCCACTCTGAAGGGTTTTCCCAGGAGGTGCGAAAATTTCCACCTTTTCTACTCATTTGCCTCCCTCATGCCCCACAAAGCTGTGCTGTTCTCCATTTACAAGGTCAGATTCACCCCCCAGCCCCACCCCAAAGACACCTCTGCCCACCCACAAGGCTTCCACCCTTCATGACCCTCCTCAAAGGCCAGCAAACTCCCAAGCTTGGTTGATCGTGATGGTGGGAGCTGAGCTCGCCCTCCTTGGCAGCCAGTGTCCCTGTGAGACGTTTTGTAAACTCCGGGCTACTTTGATCTTGCCTTGGATTGTATCAGGACCTTGCCTTAACATTGTTCCAGATGACAAACGAAGATAGCCCCTTTACAAAATGCACCTCCCCTTTCACAAAGTAGTGACTCAATAATAACATATCTGACCGCTTAAATGCATTGTATTTAAACACGAATACAGTTTGGGTCGCTGATTTCATTTGTGTTGCCACACCAAAACACACTTATGAGTTTCAAATTGCTTCGACTAGCTTCACGCTTCCTCGCTGTCCCTGGACAGACGCTAAGCAGTTGTGAAATCACCAAAAAGGTGGGGAGGGAGAAGGAGAACGCAAGGGAAGACCGGGCCAGAATAACCCTCATGAGTCACCATTTCCTGGATGATGGAGCTCGTTGCTTGGGGGGATCCGAAGAATGGAAGCCGAATAGCGTTTGGAGACCGAGCCCCAGCCCGGCAGCTGCAGGACCGGAGCCGGGACCCTGGCCCGGCACCGCGTGCTCGAGCGCCCTCCTGTGGTGGCGCCGCAGCCCCCGGGGCTCCGGGTTCGCCAGCAGACCACGCTCCCCGCGGCGGAAGAAACAAGAGACACAGAAAGTTTCCTAGCCAGGTGGTTTGCAAAAGGACAAGCCAGGTCCCCGAGGCTTGCTGCGCGGGCGTGGCGGGAGCGGCGCCCAGGCCAGCAGCGACCACCAGTCGCCTAGACGGACCCCCAGGGCTCCGAGATGCTCCCTGTCGGGGCTGAGGGCCTCTAGATCCTGAGGGCACCCCGCACGCCGACCTTACAGCGGAGGGCGGGCAGGAGTGGCAGGGCCCACAGCCAGGGCAGGGGGCCCCCGACCCCCCAGCTACGGAGCGCGCTTGGGTTCTTGGGTTTGCTTTACTCGTTTTCTTAATTGGAGGGAGGGGGCGCACCAGCTCCTTTTGGCGCATTGTGATCCCCAGCAGTCTGGTTTCTGGGTGCCTCCAAAGAGCCCACCTGGAGTCCACTGCCCCACCCAACGCCGCCCTCCCGCGCTGGGGTGATAAGTGGAAATGGCAAATCCTCTGCCTCCTCCCCCTCCAACCCTCTGGTTTGGGAGGTAATGTTCCACCCGGGTTTCCCTGACACCCGCAGTGGACCTCGGGCCGAGAGGCGGTGGCGGGAGACCGGCACCCCGGGGCGGGGGAGGCGGGAACGGGCGAGGCCCGGCGCGGCACCTACCTCGTCCACGGTGAGCGGCATGCAGATCCGGTACTCCTTCAGCAGCATGGTCCTGCCGGCCACGGACCTCCGAGGCGGGAAGCGGGGGGCGCCCCCCCGACCAACAAGGCTGCCGCCCAGGCGCAAGGCAGGGCGCTCCTCGGAACCCGCGGCGAAGCAGCCTTCGCGGTGCGCTCAGCTCCTGGCTTCCTCCTCTCCTCCCGAGAGCATGTCAAGGTTTGGGTCCGGTGTTCGTGGCTCCCCCGCCTCCTTCCTCGCCGAGGTCGGTCCTCCCGGAACGCGGTGTTGCAAAGTCGGGAGTGAGGGAGGGAGACCCGCTGGAAACGCTACGATCGGCAGCCTGGGGCGGTAGGAGCGGCCGCCGGATCAGGACATGCCCGGCAGCGAGCGAGGGAGGGGAAAAAAAGAAATTTCCATAAATTAAAACAAATGCATAAAAGTCACTCTCTCGATCCGCCTTCGAAAGCAGAGCAGACCCTGGCTACCCGCCTCCTCCGACCGGTCTGCCCAGTGCTAATGTCACCAGGAACACATTGCAGCCGGATCCGGAGATGCAGACTTTCCAGACAAAGGCTCGAACGGCTCCTCTCTCCGGGCGGTAAACAAGATTTCCTGCTCTTTTTAGGGCCAGTCCCTGAGTCGTTCCAGGGCTCGGCTGGAGAAAAGGGAAGCAACCGCCGCCACCACCCCTCGGCTCTGCCGTGCTGGGGCCCCGGGTGCCTCCAACCTCGACTGGCTGTTGCTAGGGGCGGGCGAGAGGAAGCTGGCGCCTTCCGCGCGCGTCCCCTCCCCCGAGTCCCTTGGCTCCCCGAGCGCGGTGCGTGCCCGCGAGTTTGCAGCCACCTCGCTGGGGCCGGAGAGTCCGCGCAGAGCTGCAGTGTGCCTGGGGCCGGGGAGGTGGGTGCGGGAGGAGCGAACGCGACGAGGCTGACATCAGCAGCGGCCGCGGCGGGGAGGGTAGCCCCATCCGGCCAATGGGGAAATGGCAAAGAATGTGGAGGATTTAAACAAAACAGCATGTCTCTCCCGGGCTGCTGCCAGACTGCAGGGCTGCCCCGGAGCCGAGCCCGCCAGGTTCCGGGGAGCATCGGAAAAGGGGGCTTTGAGTCTGTTTTCAAATATATCCTGGGTGCCACAGTGCCCTACCCAGCCACTCTGGGAAGCTTCTGGACCCAAGGTACACAAAGTGTCCCTTGACCTTAGGAAAGTCTGTACAAATACCCACTACTAACGTTTCCACGATAATCCGGTAGGCAAGGCCAATGCTCGAGAGGCGGTGGGATTGAGAACCCTTCCTGGGTTCTTAACTGGTTCCAGAGAAGGAATCCCAGGAAATTAGGAAGTGCGGTAGTGCGAATGAAAAATAAGTATAAATAGAAAAATAGACATGAACCCGACGTCGCCTATACCTCTTCTGTCCCGGCTTTGCAATCTGACTGCAGGCTTTGCTGAGCAGAAAGAATAGGTTTTCGTGTCAGCACTCCTAAGTTCAGAAAGTCACAGTGAAATGTCAATGAAAATGCCTGGAGTGTTGTTATTTCATCCATATTAAACAGATCCTTCATTTTAACCACAAGAAGCACATTCTTTAGTTACTCAGGAAGCAGCAAGTTGCTGCTGAAGTCTGTTTTTCATTTGTCTGGTATTTTGGAGCTTGTTTTTCTGAAAAGTTGCTAGATGAAAAAATGCATCCGTTGCCTGTATGAGAATAACTGTAAGCATCATCTTTTCTCCAAACAATATTCACACCCTAACGGTCCTACAGCTACTCAAAGAGCTTGGATGGCACTACAGATGGTTTCTCAACAGTATAATATTAAAAATTATGATCAATAAATCCACTAACCAATATAATGATGATGGGCTTGTGGCTAAGGTCATTGCAATGACTACAATTAATTTATAACTTTAAACATCATACAAACCCTGCTAGGAAAATGACACCCTATATCCAGTTTATATTTAAGTGAAACTATTTTCTAGATAAATGCCTCCCAGAGTTGGCTCAGAAATATTCACAGCAACTAATTAAAGCTAAACCGAATTCCTCGAGGTGGAAAATCTAAATTTGACACTGTAGTGTTGAATAATAACACATTGAAAGTCTGTGATACGAAGCAGCTCAAGCTGTTTTTCTTTTTTCTACTTCTTACTTGAAAACAAGTGTAGCTCTGGGCACCTGATCATTTTTGCAGAAGTAACAAGGCAATGCAATACATTGCCACCATCCTCATGCACACAGGACATCACAGCCAGATGTGTGGGCTCCATTCCTGTTTTCCGAGGTGTTTCCTGACATTGATTCTAGAATGAAGGGTTCTGATGGAGTGAAGGAACTACTCTGAGTTTCCCAAACTGTAAATTGTCATGTACACGTGTCCTGAATCCACAGGAAGACTGGTTCAAGGATCCTCTGTGGATACCAAAATCCAAGAAGTTCAACTCCCTTTATAAAACAGTATAATATTTACACACAGCCTACAAACATCCTCCCATATATTTTAAATTATCTTTAAATTACTTACAATAAATAATACAATCTACATACTGTATAAATAGTTGTTATACTATGGAGAAGAATGACAGGAGAAAACATCTGTACATGTTCACATGCATTTTTTCCCCAGTATTTTATTTATTTATTTATTTATTTATTTATTTGTGGGGGGGTTCTGGGGATTGAACCCAGGGGCACTTTACCACTAAGTTCCATCTCCAGCCCTTTTTTATTTTTTGAGAAAGGCTGGCCTTGAATTTGTGATCCTCCTGCCTCAATCTCTCAAATCACTGAGATTACAAGTGTGTGCCACTACATCCAGCCTTTTTCCAAATATTTTCCTTTGGCAATAGATTGAATCTGCAGATAGGAAACTCACAAAGACTGCTGGATGACTCTGTTTCCTGTCCCATTCCTCCTGTTGTAAGGTGACATCTCCTTTGGATTCTCCTCCTTTGCCCATCCACATGCCTGGTCGCATTAATCTTGTGCAAGCACAAAGCTCTAATCCCACCATCTTCATAATCTTTTAGTGATTCTCTGTGGTCTACTTGGCAGAAGCGTCAAGGCACTGAATCCCTTTTCCACAATTAGCTCACTACCCTTCCCTAGCCCTACTGCAGCCACACGAGACAAATCTGGTGGCTGGAGAAAGCCTCATCATTCCGGTTTGACCCTTCTGCTTCATCTCATTGCCTTCACGGAGAATCCCTCTCCCCAGCTCATCCCCCAAGCGTGGATAATCTGTGTTCCTGGAAAGTGATTCTGATGGTGATGTGCTGGATGGGTTAGGACAGGTAGCAGAGGCAAGAGGTGATTATGTTATTATAATACTATAGGAGACGTGGGGAGGACGAGACAGAGAATGAAGAGGATGAATTCAAAAGATCTGGACAGGAATTGGGACAGATTAGTATTCACTACAACCATGCTTGCAGGTGGAGGGCGTAGGGAGAGTATTCATTCAGAACTCATTCACTTTAAGGAGGAGAGCGCCACCTACTGGTAAAGAGCGATTACTTAAAAATGTTTTAAGTCGTCAGCAACTATGGCAGGAGATATATATATCTTTGTTTCTTTTCAACCGATACTATCATACTCAAAAAGGGTTTTGAAGGTGTTGCTGTCATCATATGGTTATTAAGAATGCACTATTAACAATGTGCAATAGGGGCTGGGGATGTGGCTCAAGCGGTAGCGCGCTCGCCTGGCATGCATGCGGCCCGGGTTCGATCCTCAGCACCACATACAAAGATGTTGTGTCTGCCGAAAACTAAAAAAATACTTTAAAAAAATTCTCTCTCTCTCTCTCAAATCAAAATCATGAGTTTTCCAACTTATTGTCTCAAGTGCTTTCTGATGAGGCCCTCCTTGTTGAAACCACTTAGCCTGTGTGGAAAAAAAAAAAAAAAACCTATGAAGGGCTTGACTCACCTGTACTGTACATAGTCCCTGAAAAAGAGTATGGCTTTTGGGACTCTACTCCAATTGTGTTTTATTTCTAGAATATCCCTGGTACTTCCAAAGCAAAATATTATGGTTCTTCTTCCCATCTTCCGTTTCTCCTACCCATAAGGTCTATGGGTTAGTCAAGGCCCATGGCAAGTCCTATCTCCAAAGAAGAGCCATTCTAGAAAACTCTTTACCTTCCTAGAAAATCCCAAAACACTTTTCTGAACTACTCATTTGACTCTTGTTTTTATCCAAGTGTGGCCTTCATATATACTGTTGTAACCTACTCTCCAGGGTTTCACCTGTTCTCCAACACCCAACATGGTGGTGGGCCTCTGAGGAGACAGATTTGCCTCCATCATCTAGAAAATGAAGCATGCTGTGAGGGACTCTGGACAGTCTGGAAACATCTATTAGATATATGCATGTAATAGTGTGGGGGGTTTTTTTGGGGGGGAGGGGCGGGTACCAGGGATTGAATTCAGACACTCAACCACTGAGCCACATCCCCAGCCCTATTCTGTATTTTATTTAGAGACAGGATCTCACTGAGTTGCTCAGCGCCTTGCCATTGCTGAGGCTGGCTTTGAACTCACCATCTTCCTGCTTCAGCCTCTGATTCTCCGGAATTACAGGCGCGTGCTACCTTGCCTGGCTTAGTGCAGGGTTCTTAACCTCAGTACTGGGACAGGTAATTCTTTTGTTGTGGAGATCACTATAGGATTTTTGGCAGCATTCCTGCCTTTCCCACTAAACATACACCTCTCAAAGTTGCACGTACACACACACACACACACACACACATTTGGCTTGTTGGTGTGGGGGTGATAGGTGATTAGTGTAACATTTGTTAATCCTGTCTAATGTTTAGCTACACCAAGAGGAAGCTTTCATTGAGACTACCTTTCAGGTTGTCAAAATAAGAACTAAGGAAAGAAGAAATAAAAATCATTATGTCACAGTGATATAAAGATGTCCCTCTGCTTTTATTCCCATTTTCAGCTTTACATGACCAAAGTATCAAAGGGTCTTGATAAAGACTCTTTTGTGTTTGTTTTAACCTTATCTTTGATCACTTGGTTAAGGTAATATCTGCCAGGTTTTTCCACAGTAAAGTTATTATTTTCCCTTTCCATGCTCTATTCTGAGTCATTAAGTCCAGCCCCACCATATTGTAAAGGAGGGAGTACAATATGGTCCCACCTCCTTAAGGGGAGAATATCCACATCTATAATGAGGAATTCTGAATTATTTGTCCCTTTAAAAAAATTTTTTTCTTAAGTGTGTGTGTGTGTGTGTGTGTGTGTGTGTGTAGTGCTGGGGATAGAACCCAGTGCTTGGCACATGCTAGGTAAATGCTACACCCAGACAAATTTATTTTATATTTTGAGTTACAACCAATACTACATTACTAATTTTGTTGCTCACAGTTGTCTGACTTAGCCATGGGGAGTTCTTTCAGGATGGTGACTTGTCCTTTTGGCCTGCACCCCATTTTTATTGGGCAGTTCAAGAAAATAAAGTGTTATTCTTTGTAATTAATTTTTGTTTTGTTAAATATTAATTGCTTAATTCCAACAAAGTATAACTGTGTGTTTAAATCCCTCTATGTCTGTTCTTGTTTGGTTGTTGAGCAAATGTTAGAATACTTTCTTAATAAAACTATACAAAGCAAGTCCCAAGGCAATTCTTACATGTAGACCCATTTATCAGGCCTCTATTAAATGCAAAGAATGTCTTTGATGTGGAATTGCTTGTAGCTGTGTAGTAAATGCTCATAAAATAAAAATGAATTGACAGTGATGTGGTACAAATTGTTTCACACAGAAAAACCCTGGAGGTTCTACAGACAAAGGTGCAGGTGTTCTTTTTCTTCTTTTTAATAAATAAGCTGTTGATAGATTCATCAAAGTTTGACTTTTTATTGAATTACCTATTTTTTCCCCAGAAACTGGTAAAA